AAAACATGGGGAGCAAAGACCAATTCTCCTTTTATATAGTGGCAATCTTTGATGTATATTGAATTTGTTGCATCATACCAAGGAGGCCAATATGACAGGAGAGCGGGATATCACTGTCTGTCTGAATTTTCCTGAGCTGATCGGTCCTGCGTATCAAACTGTACTCTTCCCAACCGGTGAAACCAGAGATCAACTCACCCGGCTTATAATCTGGATGGCTTGAAGAAATAACCTTGGACACCCCGAATCCTTCAATAACCTTTGAATATTTAACATAGTATATGTGACAATTTAATCGAGAATCCAGGTCTGTTGAAGGTAATTCATTCTACTTGACTAGTTTACAGAGGTGAAAAGTGATAATAATTGCAATTCGAGCCTTGAGAGTACAGATTTAAATGTGTTTGACCGATGTTCATTACAAAATCTCCTTAGACGTTACTCTCATTTGAACTAAAAAATTGCAAGTTTAAGTTGTCAAAGAACCAACTCAACTAAAAACTCAAGCTTGTGGTTGTGGCCCAGGAAAGGTTTTATATATTCTAACACGCCCCCTCACATGCAAGCATAGTGAAATCTTAAATTTTTAAAATTGGGTGGCGTTGAGTTTCGAACCCGTGACCTTTTAGTCAACAAGGCTCTGATACCATGTCAAGAAAACCAACTCAACCAAAAGCTCAAGCTTGTTGTTGTGGCCCAGGAAAGGTTTTTTATATTATAACATAAGTGGCAATGCCGTCACTTGATACCGAGTTGCGCGCCTGAGGCCTGGGCAAAACTGAAAGTGAGACTTATGCATTCATCTATATTTTAAAAAGGAAAAGGGTCATATAGTAGATATATGAAAACCTCTAATATTTGGGAATACATCCCCAGATATGATGCTTGCTATTCTTGAGAGAAAAATTGTCCAAATAAGAGGGGAGTTTGCTGACATGCCTACTAGTGAAAGATATGATCCTATGAAAGGATATTTGTGGCTTCTTTGGGATAAAGGAGCACCTACCTGGACTAAAATGGTTAGGAAAAGACTTAATATTCCAAAATATCAGTTTATGTTCTGGTTACTTATGAAAGACAGAATCCAAACCAGAAGTAGAATCAGCAACGTATGGAAATAGATCTGGCTTTGTATCCTCTGTGGCCAGAACAGGGAAGACAATAATCATTTATTATGGGATTGTTCCTTTGCTAAGGAACTGTACAACAGAGTTTGTGCTGGGCTAAAGCACAATAACAATTCAACCAGTTCACAAGAATTTGGAGCAGAATATTAATAGCAAGAAACAGAGGGGAACTATGCTTGGATTGCCGCTGCCTGGGCTGATCCGCTGATGTTTGCTACTAGATTTGGTAGGCTAGAAATGCAAAAACCTACCAGAAGGGGAGTAAAGTGGACGATTGTGTAACCTACTGCATTCAGCACCAAATGAAGCATTCTACAAACTCTAAACTTAGTTTGTCTTGTGATTGGCAGTGGTCTACTGATAATCTGTTTCTGTGTAAAGAACTGATGTTGTGTTCTTTTGGTGATAATGAAATTTTGTACTTTCTGTTACAAAAAAAAGGTTTCAAAACATAAAATGAGTTTAAAATACAATTTTATATTACTACAGATGGAATTTATGTCATGTTTTTTAAATTCAAACTCTCTACATCCTATAGGAAAGGGGTAAAGCCTATGTATGTTGGAATATAAATAAAACACTTTCTTAGCCTCTAACCATCCTCTTAAGATCTTGGTTGAATGGTGCAAAATATGAAGGAGCCTTAGGCTTCAAGTCTTAAAAGCATTCCCAAGACATATGTTAAAGTATAAAACTTTTCCCTACTCTAAACATCAACTTAACCTTTTCATTGTAGTAGTCACTTATCGCATGCATGCCTCACACCGCACTCGTGGGATATGATATTGTCAATTGAATTGTCTCATTCTTGGAGTTGGCAGCACTTGATTCTAATATTGGTTGATGAGAAAAGAGTTCCCAAGTGTTGTGTAAAAAAGTACTCTCCCCGTCCTAAATTACATTGCTTGTTTACTATTCATATGGTCAAGCCTCATTCACTTTTTTTCTTTATTTTCGTTAGTCAGTTGATAAAATAATGTAGTAGTCATGACACCGCTAGTTTTGAAGATCTTATGATGCAGTTTTAAAATATGTGATTTTTATTTTTTCTATTCTACATTGTTTTTCATATAAAATAATTTGAAAATAACTTCAGCCAAATATCATAAACCGAAACAGGCCATTCAAATTGGGACGGAGGGAATACTTCTTCCTTTATTTTTGGGACAATGAAGAGTGCTACCGAAATTAAGAAAAAATAAATAGTGGAATGGACAAAAAATGTAAAATGGGACAAAATAAGGTGGTAGGGAGGGAGTAATTTCTTACTCTATTCTATTTTTAATTTGTAATTTCATACACACACACAAGCAAACAAATCCGCTATTAAAGTTAGAATTCGATTTTACTAGTTTGACCCGGCACCAAACCAGCTCCAGACATGATTTTTAAAGAGACGGAGAAAGCAGGGGGGAAGAAACCCTACCGAACCAGGAAGAAAAGGAGGGATGTAGGAGCCGCGGAAGTCGCGCATTCGGCCTCGCATGTAAGGATCGCAGGAAAGGTATAGATTCTTCACGAGCATAATCGCTCCTCCGTCGCCGTCCGGCAGATTGACCGGCCGGTTCCCGGTGACGAGCTCCATGTCCGTTTCCTTGGGAATTCCTTCGATGTATCCCTTGAAGATGACCTGCCTGTTCTCTCCGGCCACCGCCGCATCGCAATCGCGCGCGGTAGGGCTCATCTCTCCCCTTTCTCGCAGCACTTACAGTTCTCTGTTGTGAGAAGTGCGGAGAGCGGTGGGACTGGGGAGCACGAAATTGGCATGTCGCTGGTTTGAGCTCTCCACAAATGCAGGGTAGTTGGGACTTGAGATGTACCTAACTACCTAGCACTTACTCGCATATGGAAAAGGACCATGCTAGGGTAGGGGTAGGGTGCGGGTAGGGTGCGGGTGCTATCATGGGTGTACCCATGTTTCGCACAGACAAACACATACGATAATTATCTGTGCGACACAGACAATTATCATCTGTGCGAAGTATGGGTGCACCCATGTGGTGGCACCCTAGCATTTTCCTATGGAAAATTACTTTGGTATCCCCACAATTATACCACAATTTGTATATCAAGCATAAATGCAATATTTTATGTTTGTTGAGATGAAGACATTATATTTGTGTATATTTGGTGTACAATTGTAGAGGTATCTCTAGCGAATATTCGCTCGTATATATCTACAAAAATGCTTGAGCGTTCGTGGAAAGGAGAGATGGTTGGAATCTCCTCAGACACCAATGGGACGGGTCTGGCCTTCGTGCTTTTCTTGTAACCACACATCCATTTAGGGCTACCCATTCCGGTGGATCTTTACACAATTTTTGTCCATGAACGTAGTTTAGCTGGTTGAGCAAGGGTGACCAAAGTGACAAACACAAGTTCCATTTATAGAAACTATGCTTAGAGACAGTTTTGCTAAACATAAAGTCTTTGTAGGTATCAAGTTTGTGTTTTCACTCTTTGTCAACCAATGTATGATTATAGCTCCTTACCTTTTCTCAAATGATTGTCTGATCAGTTCTGGGGGGACTCATGGGGATGGGGCTCTTCCATACAAATAGTTATTGTCTTTATGCGTCTGTGAGATACTTCGTGTCAAACTGTTGGTGTCCCCTAGCATAACTCATACACCTAACACTCAATTCCACCTATCTTCAAAAAAAGGTTAAATACCTCATACTCCATCCGTCCAAATTGTTTACCATATTTTGAACAACGTGTAAAATATAATCTCTTTTGAAATTCTTTTATTTATGAATTGGTAGAGAAATAAAAAATATAAATTACACCGTTCAAAAGTTTTACAACACAAGATGCAGTAAAAAATATTTTATTTCATCACGTGGTCACCGAAAACGAGTAAACTAATAAAAGTTATCGAGACGACCAAAATAGTAACTATAACATTATTCTTGGGATAGAGAAAGTATACTTTTAGTCTCTATATAAATGTGTGTTTTTTAAGTCTTTTCATTTTGGTAAATTTTTCTTTGACCAGTCCCTCCAAATAGTTTTCGATTTAGCCCCTACAAAAGTTTATTTCCTTGTAAACGGTCATTCTTTATCATTAGGATACATATTAAGGTTATGTGATTTCCTTCTATCCCCATAACTTTTAAATTTTACTCAATATCTATGTTTTGGTGACTGAAGCCAGCCAATTCAAGAAAGATTTGATTTATGTATTTGAAAAACAAATATATCAAGATAATTATAATTGTCATTGCATGGTAATTACAGAAATAGTTTTGGAAAAAGTAAAGTAATCACACTTGGCATGGAAGATGAAGGACAACACCTTGGAAGAAACAATCATGATAGATATTTATCGAGATTTAGTTTTGATATTTGTAATTTTTATTTATTTACTCCATCCGTTCCTAAATAGATTATAATTTTTTTTTCTCTCTTCTCGATAACTTTTGTTTGTTTACGCGATTTCATTAAGTATTTGATAAAATAAAATATTCTTGTCACCTCTTGTTTTGTAGAACTTTTGACGTAATTTTTTAATATGTAATTTTTATATCTTATTGATATACCAATTTGTAAATAAAATGATTTCAAAAAGTATGAAATTTTACTCCGTAACCCGCAATTTGTAATCAAATTGGGGTCGGAGGGAGTATTAAAGTTTGTAAAGTTCAAAAAAAAGTTTGTAACTTAGTCATAATTAGACCGATAAATAGGTTTCATTTTGTTTTGTTAGAGAATGAAGTTTTTGAGATGAGTTGAATTGCAAATAAGTGTTCTTTGACTTTTGTGATTGTCAACAATTCGTGAGTTTTAAAATTACAAACATTGTGTGTCGATACGATATGTCTCATTCACGTGAGTTATGAACTTATGGTTTTAAAAACACGCCTTTCGTGCTACTACATCTAAGCTTCATTGATGTGCGGAAGCTATCCTTTAAAAAAAAATTAAAACCCATATATGAGGTATAGTTCTATACACAAAGTTGGAGTGTGTAAAACAAAATGGACTTTCCCTATAAATAAATAAATGAACTTACAAACAGGCTTGGAGCAATGGACATATCAACAAAAAAATCAACAAACCAGGAATTGCTATATGAACAAACAATGTATGTCTCACATGTGTGGGACACAAAAAAACAGCACCACACCCCTTATGGACTTTGAATGCTCTTAAGCTGCTCAAAAACATCTGATGAAAAGCTAAGGTGTTGAATATCGGCTCGGTGGAGGACATCTGCCCGGAAAAGGTTATTATTAGAGTCGCCGGAGCTTCTGTTATTATTATTTTGAGGGGCAGTCTTGATGCCTAAAAAGCAGTGGCGGACACGAATGCGGTGGCACCTCATCTCAGTGGTGCAGCCTCCGCGGATATGGACTACAAGTATCACTTCCTTGTCCCTTGCATCTTCACACCAACAGTTTCGCGGGACCCCATCTACAAACTCTTCTACCGTCTGGTAATCCTTGTGATGAACTATGACTTCAGTAATCTGATCTGGTTCAATTATCCCAGTAACCGGGCTTACCTGTTTGTGTAGTACTTAAACATCACGGGTCCATCTTGAGAACGGAGATTGCTAGATGAATAACATAATGAGGAAAGAAAACTTGGGGGAAATTGAAAAATCTGATCAAGCTCTAGATATATGTCACATATTTGTTCAAACTTGCTGTGAGTATAACATAAAGGCATGAAACCAGTTAATAGGATTAGAAAGAAGTATCTCTGCTTAATTGCAAGAATTTACCTCAAGCCACCTGGGGAAACCAAAAGAACCTCGTGGACGATGGTCAAAAGCTTGCCCATCATCCCTAACAGTTGTCTCGCCTTCGCAAATTATGTCAAACATGGCTATGCCCTTCCCACACTTATTTGTGATGCGCAAGATGGATGCGTCCATGTTTTGGAGGATTATGTTGTTTGTGCTGACAATTGCATCAGGAACTTCAAACTCTTCTTTCAGCATCGACTTTATCTTCTCGTTACATCTCATGATCTCTCCATACTCTTGCCGTCTCACAGATTCATCTATCCGAGCAATCTGAACGCTGAATATACAGCGCACTGGTTTATGGTCACTGTCTGTCACATCCATGCAAGCCTCATACCTAGTAACAAATTAATCCTGTTGATAATAAGTGTAGAGGCCAAAATATAAAATGCATGGAGGTTTATGATCACTCCTTCAGTCCCATAGTCTCGATTGATGAAGATGAACTTAGGTGTCATTTGGCAGGCAAATTACTACATGCACCTAAGGTCCATGGTGAACCTTCATATATGCTAAATAAGCATTTTCAAGTGTTGAAATAAGCATTTTTAAAATTAAAAAAATATGTGAGAAGGTCCACCATTGAATCACCCCATTTGTGAGATGGAATACCCCCATCCACAAAAAAAGACTCATGCTTGAGTAAGGTATTGCTTTTAATTTTTAATCAACTCCAGATTGGCACAATTAAAGCTGTTAATGGTAATTTAAACCTCTAATGCTTATTGATCAATTTTTTGGACTGATAATGCACCAAAACCGCTTATCTAAAGTTGACTCTTAAAACCAAACTTTTTCTTATAGAAATAAATGTTCTCGAGCCAAGACCTTTTTTAAGCTGGAGATTACACTATATTAGATGTTAATAGTGATATTAGTCTAACAAGTACCTAGAAAATCAACACCTAGAAAAAATGAATAAAAACAAAAAAAAAAGAACAGTAAAATGAGTAACTGATCACTTGTAATACAGCCAATAGGTCACAGCAGAGGCAGACCCACGTTGAGTCCCACGGGGTCCCGGGACCCCACGGACCTCCACGTAGGATCCTATATATGTCAGGTACTCTGATATTATTAGTATATATATACACCTAAAACACCGATATGGAAATGAACATCGAAGCAGTGCATTGGATGCGCGGCTGAAATTTGAGATGTGGGATTCAGAGTTCGAATCCTGTCACCACCTTATTTTTTGTTCTTTTTATTGAGCTCAATTTTTTCTTCAAATACTTTACAAAAACATTTTTATTGTCATATATTTAATTATATTTTTTCATTTTTTCAGGCAGTATGTTTTTGTATTATTACCTATTGCTACATTAGAATTTCAATTTAAATGAATACTCGGGATATTAAATAATTATTAATGTTTTTCCAATTTGACAATCAAACTATCTAAATGCACGTGCTATTTAAATTTGTTTAGTTTAATTCTTTTATGAGTGCTTTCAAAATTTAGTGGAAATAAAAATTGAAATGAGAACCTCCAATCTACTAAAATCACCTTCATCCTCGTACTTAAGTAATAAACAATGAATACAATGTTGATCTCATTCCAATTACTAAATTATTATATCCAATTACTAAATTTTATCAATAGAAAATTGTAAGATGTAGTAGAAGTTATGACTTTGAAAATTCCATTTGAGAATCATATTTTGAATGTTCATTTAAATAGAAGATTTTTTATAGCGTGAGAAATGAGAATAGTCACATAGTATAAATATATGTTCATAATTTAAGAAACGGGACCCCATGTTTCCCGATTCCTGGATCCGCCTCTGGGTCACAGGGTGATTCATAGCCCAATGATGTGAATGCTGAAACAAGGCAATTTATAGAGAACTCACTGCAGAACTGAAGATACTACAGGGCAGTCTAAGCTGCATGTGGAAGCTGAAGAGGTACGGCAATCACGGTACAAAATTCTGTCACACCAGGCAGGAATGCGCTTCTTCTCCCCAGAATCATACCCTTTAAAGACAAATTTCAACCGGTCCAGAAATTCAAGCACAACTCAATAAAGTTGAGATTAAACCAAAAAGTGATTAATGAACAATGCACAGATAAAAATAGAGCTATTACATGTTGACATACCAGCTAAACCATGTTGATGCTTTTCAAATTTATATGTAGGAGGAAATTTGATCAATGCTTCACGCATTCCTTGGAAGACATTACCAGCCTTCATTTCTTTATGCAACTGATCCCTTTCTCTTAGCCAGTCAAAAGACCTCTGAGAGATAAAATCCCTTGCTTCATCATACGATATTCCATCAAGACGATAGTTGAAATCACCCAGAAAGACAACCATATCGGCTTCAGATAGCTCTGGTATGGCTTCTAAAGAGTTAACTGCTCCCTGCTAGAATATATTTTCATCTTTTCATTGATGAAAACCATAAATTTATAATAGATAATGGACTACTAACTCAACGTTATGTTATGAATTTAGGTACATACATTGGCACCACGTAGCATTTGAACCACAGATGAGACACTAGCTGCAACAGAAAGGGCGAACAGAAAGCGACAACCATAAACACGCCATATCAAAAATGCCAACCAGGCAAGCAAGGAAGATGAGAGTAGGTGTGGCACTATACCAGCAGCAGCATTCGGAAAGCTAGATGGCCGACTGAAGACCATTCCTCGATATACATGATCAAAATCAGAATTACGGCGACCAACAGCCTCCAAGTGTGCAGCAAAGTGGCAGTTCACGAAGCACAAAACACGACCGTACACCCTCATTCTCAAGCCTACAGCTCCCTTTTACAAATGAACTAAAATTGATCATTACTTCAATAGCAATAATAGGTTGGGCTATAATATTGGTAGTTAACTCCCAATCTGCCCACTAAAACGGAAAACATGGATACCTTGTTCCCAATTGCATGCCCGAAACCACAAGGAACTGCTGCAACTTCAACATCCCCAACATGACGACTAATATTTCTTCTAACCCTGAAAAAAATCACTCACAATCAAAATTTAGGAGCTACTAAGCACTTGAGGTCCCAACAAAATGAAGATAAGCCCAACAAGTCCATTGACAAATCTAAACAAAAGTTCATACTAGGAATTCTATATAATAGAAGCATCATGTTTTCTGCTTGGGTGTAACGATGCCGTCAGTGGTGGCGAGAGGCGAGAAGAAGTTGGGATAACTAGGTACAGTAGTGGTAAGAAGGTTATAGTTTGTGGTATGACAGTAGTCAGTACGTGTTTAGGTGATGGCTAAACACTTGGAGGACAACATAAGATTTTCCCTTTAATACATTTGTTAGTTTGTGTCTTTGAGACAAAAGGTTGCAGGTTTAATGATCATTGTATTTCATGTTTCCTATCTTTTTTCATTGCTTGTATTGAACCCACAGAAAAAACATACAAATTGAAACCGACTTTCAATTCCAACTGGATAGCCAGTACCAACTTTGACCCTCCTAAAATTGGCTACACTAATTTTGTCAAATAGCACCTACCATACACCAATAAGCAAGCCTGCCAACTGCCTGGAACCAACACATACAAAAGTTGATCCTTCATCCAAAGTTTTCCCAATCATGTCCATCCACCATTGAGCAGTGGAACTTACCTCAAGGCCCACCTGCATCTAAAACATACATGCAAATACAAAGTTACAATGTATGCTAACATCATGGAAATATAGACCCATACCTGATTCTTATATTGACTTATTTTTATTTATTTTGGAAACCCAAAGCATAATAGAGGAAATCCTTGAGTGAAAAGTCAAGGTAGCTCCAGGTCAATGTGCAATAATCAGTAAACATAGAGAGAAAAAAGAACCAAATACACATAACGGATACTAAAAGGATAGAATCTCACTGTTTCTTTAGCAGCAGACATTGCAAGAAAACCAGCACCCATCTCCACTTCCTGCAGCCCAACAACAACAATGCCAACTTCCGCAGCTGCAAAACCTAACCATGTTATAAGTGAGTCATGAGAGGCTCTTCCTTGTGCAACGTTCCATGTGCCAGCCAATACTTTCAGATCCTCTATTCTTGTATACAAAAAGTCCCTCTCAGCCAACTCTGAATGTAATAGATCATCAATTGGTGCTGGAGATAATATACTCCACCCACGTATACCACCATGATTTGCTAAGGTAAAAACATAACCATCTGCAACAGCCATCTCTATAATTGGACTCCTATGTGCTAACCATTCTCCAAGTGATTTACCATTAATATCCAACACCTGAACAATCCCACTGGCATATCCAACCCATATTCGTGATCCAAAAGTACAAAAGCATTGAACAGAAGAAGTATGGTACTGAACTTCATGCACATGATTTCCATCACTATCCCATTGGACCAGTAATCCATTAGCACATCCAGTCCAAATCATTTCGTCAATCGTTATGACAAGTGCTTCAGTTCTTCGATTATCATCTCCAAAACCTCCTTTAGCTGCAACTCTACGAACAGCATCAGCTGCTCCCAAAATAGCATTACACGATCGCTGAAAGAAACTGAAGGAGGTCTGTGACTTCTCCTTCTTTGAAACATATACAGACTTCATCCTCAACTCTTCTTCCATTACAGGATCTTGAACAGCCGAAATACTTTCAACCTGACCATCTATGTTGAACACTTTCAATAACTCCCACATCCGTGCATCCCTACATATGAAAATAATCAATAAATTATTATATTTACCACAAAGAATAATGAATAACACAGAGGCAATAAACATAAAAGGGAAAGCATAGAACTTCCCTAGTTTACTCAAATGAGTTTCATTTCATTTGTAGTAAAACACTACGAGTAAATTTAATGATCCAGTATTGTGAAGACATCATCTTGGAAATAATGGATGTAGAACCCTTTCACCTAAACTACAAACTAGTGACATCTTAAATTAGATGCAGTCACAGATATGTTACAATGAATCAAGTGAAAAAGCAATTCACACTAAAAGGGCATGTGAAAAAGCAATGCACACAAATAGATGCTTCACATGTTACAATAATTAATGCATAAGGAAAGTGAAAGATATACATTCAAACAACACTCCTAGAAGTTGCTTAGATTTCCAGAATAAAGTTTACTAGTTCTCCTAATAGAAGTCAAAAGTTTATTCCTAGAGGTCGCTTACCATAATGCAAAAGACAGGTAGCCAGCAGTCCACACTTTTGCACCAGAGCGATCAGACACCATATATCTGACATCAGCAGAGAATATATTATTGCCATTAAGAGTACCTTGGTTCTTAATATCCACATATGACCTCTCTATTAATAAAGAAGCCATATGGTGTTCCTCTGCTGTTAGAGAAAATGATTTCTCAATTGCTTCCCATGTCCAGATCTTGATAGCACCACACTCAGATCCCGACCATAGATCACCTAGAAGAAATTACGTTTCATCAAAATAACAAGGCTATCCTCTCTATTATGCCATCACTTTCTTTATTAGTGTTTATTCACTTCTTTGATCCATTTAAATAATTTAATCCAGCACACATAGAATGTAACCAGTTATGTAAATGGTAGATGCTGACATATATAATGTGAGTGTGTAGAACCAGATCACTTTACCCAAAATATTGAGAGAGAAAAAGGCTTTCTGTTTAAAGATAACTGTAGAAATTGAAAGTGTGACATGTTTGTGAACTACTGATGGGAACCAGGCTTAGAGAGTTCTAGATATTTTGAGAGTTCCAATAACAAAGGCAAGTAGTAAAGAACTAAGAAGATCAAGCATACCATGATTTATGAAAACCAAGAGATGGCCATGAAGAAAGCTTAAAGCCCAAAGAGGACAGTCTTTTGGCTTTTAATATGGCTCAACTTAATTACAAAGTCCATAGCTCGTACCAATAGCTCATTCATGTTACCTTAGTAGAGAGGAGAACTCTATCCACTACAAATGGTCCAATGAGATTATTAGAGGAAGATGCGAAAGTGGATGAGCATTGCTTGCACTACAATAGAAGGTGCCTTAGACTGTCTCTGTAATCCTTATGACATAACGAGTAGAAGGCCACAACTTGCATGCTCCTTATTGCATAAGGAATGATGTAGGGCGTAACCTTAAATAGACTTTATCCTATTTTTAGTATTTTAGTAAGAGTTGGTTTATTAATTACTTTCCTATCATTTATATGGTTAAAGGCCCTATTGACGGCCAGTTGATAGCTATTTGTATCCGTTGCTTGGGTAGTTGACTCGTTGTATGTGTTTTGAGTAAGTCGTTTATGTGAAAAATGTTTGGTAAGGTGAATTGTTTGTAAATTAGCTTTTTGACAAAGTTCTTAGAATACCCCTAATCCTAATTCATTACTCCCTCCATTCCGCAATGAAGTCTACATTTTCTTTTTTTTGTCTGAGCCAAAATAAACTTTAGACATCTCACATTTCCCCTTTAGGAAAGAAATATATGGCTCATAGCATTAGTCTCTCTTCTAAACAATTTCCAACTACACTTCACTTTTCAACATTTTTCCTAAACTCCATGAAGTCAAAGTGTAAACTTTGTTGTGGGGCAAAGGCAGTATATTTTAAATATCTTTAATATTTTTTATTAGTTTATATATGTACAAGTTCAATGTGAAATGGAAATTTGAGTACATATTTTGCCTGGTTCTCATCTAGTACGGCGTCATTTTCTTTATTTGTGTTTATTCGCTTCTTTGATCCATTTACATAATTTAATCCGCACACATAGAATGTAACCAGTTACGTAAATGGTAGATGCTGACATATATAACGTGAGTGTGTAGAGCCAGATCACTTCACCCAAAATAATGAGAGAGAAAAAGGTATTCTGTTTAAAGATGACTGTAGAAATTGAAAGTGTGATATGTTTGTTAACTATTGATGGGAACCAGACTTAAAGAGTTCTAAATATTTTGAGAGTTCCAATAACAAAGGCAAGAAGTCAAGGACAAAGAAGATCAAAAATACCATGATTTCCTATATTCTGCGGGATGAAAACCAAGAGGTGGCCATAAAGACAGCTTCAAGCACAAAGAGTACCGTCTTTTGGCTTTTAATATGACTCAACGTAATTACGAAGTCCATAGTTCGTACCAATAGCTCGTTCATGTTACCTTGGTAGAGAGGAGAGCTCTATCCATTACTAATGGTCCAATGATATTATTAGAGGAAGATGCGACACTGGATGAGCATTGCTCGCACTACAATCAGAGGCGTAATTACGAAGTCCATAGTTCGTACCAATAGCTCGTTCATGTTACCTTGGTAGAGAGGAGAGCTCTATCCATTACTAATGGTCCAATGATATTAATAGAGGAAGATGCGACACTGGATGAGCATTGCTCGCACTACAATCAGAGGTAGAGCTAGTAAGGCGACTGTGACTGCAGTTGCAGTCACTGATTTTAAATTTGTTTAAAATGCTATTAGTAGACAAGTTTTATTTTAAGAGTTTCACCACACCCTAAATATATGCACCTGGAATGGTCTTTGCCTTAATGGTCATTGCTTCATCTTTCATGTTTGCTTCATAACTTCTTTTTTTTGTGATAGACAATAATTTGATTGAATTACTTTTCATGAGCACACATGGACCTAAAAAATGTTTACTGTCTATGAATGGCTACTCAAATACATTAAGTGTCTGTTATCACAAACACTAATTCTCTGTCAAAGCCTAATTAAGTAGTGTCTGTGTATGTTAATTGAATGTGAAGAGAATTTCACATATTGTCAATGTGTTGGTTGTTTTGTATTGTTAGTTTTGTATTAAATTTGTTTTTAATTTTACAATGTGTTACCAATTTTGATACATTCGTGACCAAATGCAATCAAGGCATCAAATATGCCAAATATTCAAAAAACAAAGACATTTCCTAATTTTTTACACAAGAAAACAAAAAAAACATAATTTGGATCTTTTGTATCATACAAATACAATATGTTTGTGAATTGTGATTATTTAAACACAAATGTTTAATTTCTATGTACACCGTATAAAAATTGCACCCGTTAAATAGGACAAATAATACAACACAACAACAACAACCCAGTTGAATCCCACTACAGTAGGGTCTGGGGAGGGTGTGTGTACGCAGACCTTGCCCCTACTCAGAAGTAGGGAGGTTGTTTCCAAGAGACCTCCGGCTCCAACTGCACAAAAAATATGATAAGAATCACAGTATAACATAAATAAAGCACCAAGTACAATGGAATGAAAGTCCTACAAGCAATAGCAAAAATTTCCAACCAAACAAAACACACTACAAAAAACCCCTGAAGCACCTATCCAGCTACTCTAATCCTAGTTCTCTAAAGGTTCCTATTTAAAGCCATATCCTCAGTCAAGGTGAGAAGTCTTAAATCCTGCCTAATCACCTCCTTCCAATTCTTCCTAGGTCTACCCCTTCCCCTACTTCCCCCGACAACTGTAATCCTCTCACATCTCCGTACATGGGCGTCAACATTCCGCCGCCTCACATGACCAAACAATCTCAATCTCACTTCCCACAGCTTATCTTCCACCAGCGCCATGCGTAACTGACGTCGGATAACTTCGTTCAAAATCCTATCCAACCTTGTCTTCCCACACATCCATCGTAACATCCGCATCTCCGCCACATGCAGACGACGCACATGAGTCTTCTTAACCACCCAACACTCTGCCCCATATAACATAGCAGGTCTGACTACAGACCGGTAGAACTTACCTTTCAGCCTGGGCGAAATCTTTGGATCACACAACACCCCTGAAGCCAACCGCCATTTGGCCCAAGCCACTCCAACACGATGTCCAACATCCCCGTCTAACTCCCCATCAGCCTGAATTACCGAGCCAAGATATCGAAACTTGTCAACCTTAGGCACTAGGTGAGAGTCAATCCTAACTTCCACTTGTGATTCCGTTTTCCGACCGCTGAAAGGACATTCTATGTATTTAGTCTTGTTCCTACTTATTCTGAATCCTTTGGTCTCAAGGGCAAGGCGCCATAGTTCCAACTTATCGTTTTGTCCCTCACGTGTGTCGTCGATAAGCACAATATCATCTGCAAAAAGCATGCACTATGGGACCCCTTCTTGAACACCTTGTGTCAGGACGTCCATCACCAAGGCAAACAAAAAAGGGCTAAGGGCAGACCCTTGGTGCAACCCCATCCCTACCGAGAATGACTCAGAGTCGCCCTCGGAGGACCTTACCCTAGTCCTAGCCCCACTGTGCATATCCTTGATCACGCGAGTGTACGCGATGGGAACTCCTCTCGACTCAAGGCACCTCCATAAAACCTCCCTTGACACCCTATCATACGCCTTCTCAAGATCAATAAACACCATATGAAGGTCTTATATTAAGTATTAATAGGTCAAATAATCTAGTAATAAAAAATTAAGTATTGACCCGTCAAATATACAAAATAAACCAGCATTAATAACATTTAAAAATTTTCCCTATATTGTAAAAAAAGAAAAAAAAGTTAAATTATCATTGTTTAGTTACACAAACAACACATATATGTAAATCTTGATACATAGACAATTACCGTCTGTGTAATTTGGATGAAAATTTAACTGTCAAATATGCCAAATAATACATTATCAAGAACATTTTACAATTTTTCCTATGTTGTAAAAGAGGGAAAAAAAACTACAATTAGCATTATTTCGTCACACAGACACTACATCTCTATAATGTTTAAGCACAAACACTTACTATTTGTGTACCCTGAATAAAATTGGACCGCCATCTCAACTAGAATCCACCGTTTTCACGTCGATGTAAAAGGGAGGAAGATGGGGTGGCGATCGGTGAGGATGGGGTGATGGCATGGAAGCAGGAGTGGTGTAGGAGTTGAAGACGTGCTCCAATCCGAATCATGACGACGACGATGATGCCGCCGTTGTGATGCTTCCAGGGCGGCGACGGGGAGCCCATCCCAGTCAATAATGCTTACTTCCATCTTTATATTATACATTGTAAGTTTGCAATAGTCTGTTGTGATTGACCCTTTCTAAGCCAGCCAAGGTATCCCCAGAACAATGTCCATCTCTCAAATTGGCAGTGATAACAGTTCCATTTTGAATTGATACCCTCAACATCAATAAACTCTTCTTTGCACTCCAATCCGACATCATTAGCAACTCTCACAAAAAGGGATCTATTGGTTCAACTGTAATGTATGAAGTTCAAATTTGATCTGCTGTGATTAACACATAGACAACTTGTCATTTGATGCAACCACTCATTCTCAATGCTTGCCATCCTCCTCTAATGCTTGCCATCCTCCTCCAGTTAAGGCACTTAGAGAAACCCATGTATCTTCTTCTTCTACCGTTGCAAATGCTTTTTGCTAGCCTTCTTAATATCAATCAAAGTGCTTGTTGTAGCATGCATTTATCCAAGCACAAATTTCTCATCACAGTTAAAGCAAAAACCTTTTTTCCTTCGTTGTTGCATTTCAGTCAGGGCCAGCCTTCATGGAGTTCAAACTGGAGTACTAGGCATTGTAGTTGTGAGTATAGAGGCTGGTTGCTGCATTCTTGAGAGCACTTTCCCTGTTCCATGTACGCCTCTTTGTTGCATCAATTGCTCGTTTTTTCTTTTAGCTAAGTCTATGGCTTTCTGCAATTTGTTTGGCTTCATTAATTTGACATCCCCTGCTATCTCTTCCTTCAGGCCGGAAAGAAACACTCCAAGTAAGGCTTTTTCAGGCAATTGGAGTAGTGATTCATCAACTTTTCAAATTCTTGCAGATAATCCCTGAAACTCCCTAAGCTTGTGCACCGCTTCATTCGCTTCCTCGTAAGTTCCTCCTCCAAAATGCAAAGGACTTCTTTTCCAAAAATTTGTCAACGTGATATGCATTTTTTCCTTGGGATGGGAGTACCATTTCCACCAGAATAACAGAAGAATCAATATAACACAAGTGTTATACTGACCAGATATCGAAAAGTGCAATGAGAATATCATAGTCCCACAAGATTCAATATAACACAAGTACCCAAGTACCAATATACTATAACATGGCTATAGAGATATGTAGAATGTGGCCTGTTGGACAATAGATCATGAATAATGTGGGTCCAAAACTTTCGGGATTGGTTGACGGTGTCCTTGGCTAAACCAACTAATGAGTTCATGGCCCAACCCATGATATTGGGCCTATTCCTTAAGCTAGACCAAGTCCAACTCTAAAATCATCTTGCCAATACATTGAAACCACATACGAAAATATGATAGTAGTAGTCATTACAAACACGTACTATATTGTGTTAGCATTTTTAATGAGTTCTGAGGGCTGGATTTAGACTTTTCAAAACATCTTATATCTGATGGCAGATAGAAACCCAACAAGCGCAAAGATACTATTTGCATGTTAGGTTATCAAGAATTCGGGGATTATAATAAGAGACAAAATTTACTCGTAAAAGAAAGAAATTTTGATTAGGTTGATGAATTCAGATCCCCTAATGTCCCTTTAGTTGCAATTACATTTTCCCATGATTCTGCCAGATAAAAACCAAATGGTCACTTGTTATCGGATCTAACAAGTTGTTTCATGTGCATTGATAAGAAAACTAAAACCTCTAACATATAAGTGCCTAACAGATTTAGCAGAAAAGCTGAAGCAAAATTCTTGTACCCAAAGTCCAATTTCAAATGGTGCAATACATCATATCGATTAGTTAATGAAGCTAAAATATGAAACCATACCATACGAAGTAATGACCATGGAGAGGACTGGTCCACTATGAGCCTGCCACGATAGAACTTCAGCAAAATCCCCCAAACTTCCACAAGCATTAGCCATTTTCCAGCATCTGATTCTGCCATCTTTATGTCCACTCCACACAACCCTATTGGCAGCATCACCTACCAGGCACAACGTGGGCGGGGTTTCAACTGATTCAAAGAACGACGCGGCGCCATTTTCCAAATTCTCATCAGGTGCTACACCATAAATATCAGCTAAGTTCCAAACACGGACACCACTTTCCGAGCCAGCCCACAGCTGAAATCCATCACCAGTGCAAATAATGGTCCTCAAAAACCGCCCAATTTGGGTTTCTATCAGGGGACGAGGCCTCAATTCAAGAGATGGCGGCCTCCCCGGGTGAGTCCCTGCCTGGTCCTGGAGCTTGAATATCCCCCTGCCGCCGCCCTGGCCTACAAATTCAGGAAGAGGCTGATTAGTGCTGCTATTGTTGCGGCTGTTGAACGACGCAGAGTCCAGCGATGAAGAGAGCTTCCGGTCAAGGAATTGGATCATGTAATCGAGGCGTTTCTGGGCAGCGTCGTTTTGACGGGTGAACTCCTCGTCCTCATCGTCATCAGACGAGGAATCGTAGAACCGGTCAAATATCTTCGGCGCCCTTTGATTCTCGTCGATGTTGAAACTGAGATGGCTGCTGTGGCCGCAATCGCTGCCGTCTTCAGAGTCGGGACTCACTAGTGGCGGCGGCGGAGATAAGATGAAGTTTTGATTGTTAGGGTGAAATTTACCGTGCTCGCCGGCGCTTGTTGTATTGGTAGCCGCCGTGAAAGGTGAGAAAAAGTCGCCGTCGTCATCGTCGATCCAGCTATCCATTTTGTGCACGGAACCTGGCAAGCTAAGAAGGGTTATTCCGGACACCTAAGAAAGATTTCCGTCCGGCGTATTATACTTGGCCACTTGCTTAGTTGGGTTTGGATAAACAAAAATGATTTTTCTTTGAATAAGCAAAAGTTTCAAATAACTTGTCAAAATTGTTTATAACTTATTTTAAATTTATTAGTAAGCGGATCACACATTTCTTATGTGAATATCTTCAAATGACTTATATATAATTTAAATCATTTATCTACAAGAAAAAATATTTAAATTGTAATCATTTTATAAGTTAAATACTATTTATCAACAATAAGTCAATAAATATCAGTACAAGAAATATTCCATAAATAAGGAAGAGAAAAATCAAAATAGGAGTAAAAGTATAAAGAAAATACCAAAATAAGAGTATTATGTTTTTATTTTCAATATATAAGTTACAATGTCAATAAAATTAATACTATATAATACCAAAAAATGCTTTGAAATATAATGTTAATATACAGTGTCATATTGTCATAGTGCAAAATCTTGTTTTGGAAATAAAAATATGAAGTTTCTATTTTGATACTTTTTCTATGTTTTTGCTCCTATTTTGGATGATTTCTTAAACAAGAATAAGTAGTTCGAGATTTTAATAGAATCTGTATTGTGCCAATTTTATTTAAAGGTTCAATTTTATGACCAAAAGCACTCGGTGTCATATCGATTCAAACTGATATAGTACAATATCTCACCAATGTCAAGTCATATCATAGTAATTTAAAATTAAAAATAATATTAAGTTATTGTTAAATACACTTCACGTTCGGCTATATCCGTGAAAGGCAAAGGTGCCCGTTTCTTATAAGCAGAGTGATTTTAGCCGATCAGAGTGTGAATTTAGCATCACCCTTAATTTTATTATACAAAAATCAATCAATTAAATTATTCTCGATCTCTCCCAACCAAACGAGGAGAGAACTAGGTTGATTGGAGGTCCAAAGTACCATGTTTTACCTTATTGGTTATCCGATTCAGTCTAATGGATCAAGGTGAAACCTAAACCCAAACAAACAGAACCAAAAGAAACTCGAAAAAATAGAGAAAGTTATTTAAATAACCAAGTGAGTTATCCAAATAACCCATATTGTAACGCCCCAAAATATATCCTAGAATTATTAATGAATAAGCATTCAATTAATCAAATTGTTTTGAATAAAATAAATTGTTGTTGGGCTTTGGGCCGATACGAAATTTGTTTTGACATCTAATATCAAAATCTGGATAAGTCTCATAGAGATAAATCCAAAATGTTAACTAATTGTGTAATCTTAATTGGGAACCTGTGTCCAGGCCCAAATTAAGAATAAATGAAGAAATTGTTTATGATGTAAACTTTGAAATGATTTATCATGAAAATAAATAATGTGAATGGAATTCTAGAACCTTTTTGAGTAAAGGCCAATTAAACCAATTTTGACTCTATTAAAGTCAAACACCCAAAAATATGATGTCAGAAAAAGTATTACAAATAAATATAAAAATTATATTGTTGGATAGAGTTTAATTGTACAATCGCAACGGTGCAAACGAATTTCAATTCGGAGAAAGTTGGACCAAAAAGTGTTCCCCGACTGGACCAAATTAGTCCCAATCAGGGACTTACGTTTGCAGCCCGTAGAAATCGCCGCTCCCTCCACTGAGACGCCACAACAGTAGCAGAGGGAGTCATCAATCATGTCTTCATTCCATTACTCCCTCCTATTTAAACCCCTCCAAACTTCACCATTTTCCTTCAAATAAACTCTGAGAGAAAGCTGTGAGTGTGGAGAACGAAGTTGTGCTGTCAACTTGGTGTGAAGTCGTCGGAGCAAGCTACAATCCTCGCCGGAAGTTTCGCCGTAAAATTCTCAAAACCTTCATTTACCTTCGAGGTAAGCCCGTAGATATATCTAGTGATTAGAATGTTCATATAGATCGTTTCTACGTTCATAAACGGTCGTTTGGTTGAGCTTTGTGTTGGACGCTTGAAGAACCAAGAATCATAAACCATGAAATTGATGTTAAAACTATGAATTAATGATGCCAAAATAATCTATGAACCTTGGAGAACATCTCTATATAGTTTCGTTGAAGTTCGGTAACTAAAAACGGTATTTTCAAAATTGGACCCGAACGAAGAAGAAGATGAACAGTAACCAAAACCAAACTGTCTGGATCGATCCAATGGCCTGGATCGATCCTCTTGGACTATTTTCTCTACATGTGGATCGATCCCCCGAATTTTTGATCCGAAAATTTGTTTGAAAATGTTATTCTTGAGCTCTAAAATCCTATTTTTGATAGCAATTAATTAAGATTATTTTAAGGATGATTCTTTACAATAAAAATGATGTTTTTTTAACAAATAAAAATGTTATGTGATGCATGACGGTAAGTTTGGGTGTTAAAACTTGAAACTAGACCGCTAATTGTTATTGTTTTAAATGTTATGTTGATTGATGATTATGATTAATGAACCTACTGATTAAAAATGAATATGTTGATGATTATGGTAATGATTATTAGTTGGTGATTATGATGATTAAATCTTGATAAATGTTTTGATTAAAAATGGTAATTATGAATGATTAAATCATAATAAATATATATTGATGATTGTGAAAATAATATGTATTGTCGAGGGTATCTAGAAGACCTCTAAGATATACTCATATTAATGTTGATTTGAAAGGTATCTAGAAGAACTCTAAGATATACCCATATTAATGTTGATTTGAAAGGTATCTAGAAGAACTCTAAGATATACCTATATAAGTTAGGCCTTGCGGGTATGATGCCCGGTGGCTAGGGTTAAAACGTACGTACGGGATCCAAGAACCAAACTTGAGTACCTACTCGTTTGGGGGTACCACCCACCCAACAGTGAACACTACGCTGTCGGTTTTTGGTTGGCCTTAAGTGAAGGTAAGTTTAAGATTTCCAAAACCCTTTTATCTTAAACTAGGCTTAGCTTAAGGATTATTAGGAGTACTCTGTATACTGTAATATAGTTTAATTAGTTAAACTAGAATTCATTTAACGGTTACAAATATTAAAATGATTGTCCTTAGACTAAGAATAGTTTAAGGATATTGTTGAATGACAAATAAAGAACATACATGTTGAACGATTGAATAATGAATTTTGAAAATTGAATATTGATTATTGAATATCTGAATGAACATTATGTGCATGATATCAAATGATTTGATTGTGAATTGAGATACAATTTATATGGATGTTCGACGCATTAGATATGCTTACTCAGCTTTACCGCTGAGCGTGTAGTATGTTTTATTTGCTACACGCAGGTTATTAGAAAGAATGAAGTAACGTGGTCCTGGAGGCAGATGGAGGCGAGATTGTCGGAATGGATGTGATGGTTTTGAATTAAAGAACATAATAAATTATGTTGTAATTATGATTTGGTAAAGCTTCCGCAATATTGAAAACTCCGTACTGTTTATGATATGAAGATATTATTGTGATAAAAAAAAGTGTTTGAAATGTTTTAAATTTTACGATTACCAAGTTAATACTTTAGTCCGAAAGGGGCTGCAGACCTGGACGGATTAGGGTGTTACACATATAGTTTCTAGAAATAAAGCCACTTTGGGCCGAATCAGATCATGTTAAGCTGGATCGTATGAATATTCATATTATGAATGTGGTTATTCGAATAAGCACTTCATCTTTTACGTCTAATCTTTGCGATCGGGTAAGAATGTTCAATAACATTTTACAGGTCGTCTCAACTACAAAACTCAACCAAACAACATATAACATTTTTTTATCATCCATTGATCTTTTCGAACGGATAAAATTGTGTTTTCAACATAAAACATATAGATAAAAAATTGAATAAAAAACATTAGCCAAGCTTTTTAAATATATAAAGCTAACATATAAATCAACCATAATAATAATCCATTTATGAACATAAATTTGATCTTCTAGATGTGTATCATATCGTTATATGGGTCCACAGACTCACCTTGAAAATGAAACGAATTAAAATAATAATCGAAACGGGCATCGAAACCATGACTTATAAAAGTGACCATTCGTGTATCGAGAAGGGAGTAGAGAGGTATAGCACATAGGGTTATTATGCTACGAGAAGATGCAAAGTATTTTATATTTTAATTATCATGCATGCTCCGTAACTAAATTACATACTTGAAATAAAATATATTTTTTCCAACTTGCTTTGATTTTAAATTCAATCGCACGATTGCAATTAGTCAGATTGTTTCTACAATGTAGTATAATGCTCACAATCATTAGACAAATTCATAATGATAGACCTTGTCTTGGGTGACTACATAAGGGATGATCAATTAGGCATTGATCCTCTCATAATACAACATTACCGACCAGACTTGGTCGATCATGAAGAGTCAAGTGGCAGTAGACTTTTTGGTATGATGCATAACAAGGTAAGGAAACTTCGAAAGAAAACTCGGAAGACCATCCCTAATTGGATATGCATAGGGACATGTCATGCATCAAAGATGCTTCAGGAGGAGGCATATATAGTCTTTAGCTCCTTCAAAGAATTGAGGCCTATATTTCCATTTGATTCCATTTCGAGGCTACCAATAACAAATCGAAGTATGAGGTCATGATCCAAGGAGTGAAAGTGTCCTTGTTAATGAAGGTCAGACAGAAGAACTGAGATAGTGCATAAGAGACTGAGTTTATGTTTAGATGGAGCATTTCACTCCAATCGAGACAAAGAAAATTGATGGCATGCAAGGGGGGAGGACATGGGCATTATAGTTGAGACACACGTAAGGAATCCGTAACGAGCATTTCGACATACTTGTGATGGTCTTTTAAGTTTGGGAAGAGAGAGACGTTGGGTTGCATAGGAAAAAACAAGTTTTGAGAGGAGTGTTGCATTTAGAAGAGATAAACTTAAAAACAACACATTAGAATAAAGTGAATTAACCATGCATGAGCAAGAGGGAGAGACATGTCTATGGGAAATCAAAAGTATGGTCCCCATAGGCCATATCGAGGTGATTAATGATCCTACTTAGAGTAGTGGGCAATTTTTTGTATAAAGAGCGAGTACTGAAATGGATCTTTCACAACTCCATCAACAATCACCAATAGAGTTTAGAAGTCAAACACATATTTTTTATTTTTAACTTGTAAAAAAGGACATGAAAGGATCTCGACACATTAGTGTAATAGAGTAATACCGATGGGCCCATGACATGTTCCAGACCCAAATAATAAAATTATGGATTAAAGATGGGCTGCCCCGAAAAGCCCTCAAGAATAGTTAAAGCTAGGGGTTGCCCATAATAACTTATCAGTCCACTCGGGTGGATTGGAGAGAGATGAATAACTAATACATTGAGTTGACACAGGACAACGATAGACTCGCGTCCCAACCCCTTACGTTCCAAACAAAAAGGTCCTAATTAGGCATGAGACTAAGGCCCTGTTCCGTTCAACTTATTTTTTCTGCTTTTTTCTTATTCTTATTAAAATAAGATCCGATCAGACCAAATTAGATATAATTAAATCAGATCAGATCAGATCCAATCAGATCAGATAAGATTAGATCAGACCCAATCATATGATCTGATTATATTAAAGTCAATTATACTTACGGGGTGCAATTGACGTACGTGGGGGATGAGTCGGGGTCGGGACTTGGGGGGGTTACTGGGGGTTGGGAGGGTAGGAATCATCAATTTTATGAATAGAGCTCCGTAGGTGGGCAGTGGCTTCCGTGGCCACTGGAATGCAGTGGCCAAGGAACTGGGCCGTTATTATTATTATTATTATTATTATTAGGAATTATTATTATTATTATTATTATTATTATTATCATCATCATCATCATTACCATTATCATTATTACTCCATTTTATTTAAATTTCATACTTTTTTACTTGTTTCACTTGAAACGGTTCTTTCAGAAAATAAATTTAATTTCTCTTGAAAAAATATAAGAAGAAAAAAAATGAAACTTTTGTGCGATTATAATTTATGTAGAGAAAAATAAAATGATATGAAGCACAATTTCTTCCTTAAAAATGAAAAAGGATAAACTTTAGAAACAAGTTAAATAGAAAACTGATGAAGTAATCTTTAATTATTAGAAGTCGGAAGTTTTTTTTAAAATACATTGACAATGTCAATCTAATTCTACTTTTAAAATATATTTTTATTGCTACTTGTAATTTGAGTTTCTAAAGTTATTACATTATAAAATATGAATGAAAAAATATTATTACATTATATTATCACATTATAATATGTACTCCGTATGATTATTCTAATATATGAATTAACTAATTTTATTTCATTAACAAATAATCATAAAATAAAAAAAGTGATTATATTATAATATGAATTATCATTAAAATATTAAAAAGTTATTATAAAGTCAAATCAAATTATTGATTTGAATTCTAAATCAAATCATAATTAATCAGGTCAGATCAAATCGGAACAGATCAGATTCAATCAGATTAGACCAGATCAAATCATATCATATGAGATCCAATCAAATCAAATCAGATCAAAAAAAATAAGTCAATGATCATAGTTTGCCTTTGTATACCCAAGGCTTCTGTCCCTGTAGATGGTGGCTGAGCATGTCACCCATTGAGCTGTAATTTTGTTTAATTATTAAAAAAATGAAAAGGAATGTGATTTTGTTATATATTTCGTGTAAAGTTATATGAGCCCGTGGAATCATAAGATAGAAACACAATCTTTCTAATAACAAAAATTTCTAAATCTTTCTAGTTTATTTTGAAAGATTATATCTAATTGGTTATGTCTAAATTATTGTTTTTATATGACTCATATTTGTAATACTTCATCAATCGTAAAGTGCTCGTTCAATTTGATTTTTTATTCAATTAAACTAGACGAAAGACTAGAATTTTTTATTAATTTATGCAGAGGAATTAAATTTAATCAAATTTTATTTTAAAAAAAGTCAAATTGAGAACTGTTCTATGAGTTGACCAAGAGTGTAATAACTAGAAAAAGAAGTGGGTGAACTTTAAAGCTTAAACAGTTTTAGGTAGAGGGGGAGTAGAAAATCTCAAAATCAAACAAGAAATAATGCAATTTGCTGCACCCATATGCCAATTGTCTCATTTATTGGCAGTGGAGCAAGCAAAAGGATGGAGAGAAAGGACTTTGTACTTTCCTGTGAAGACAATTCTCACTGCCTTAAACACAGTGGAAACCCCACTCAACAAACATATGGAGTAATATTATTCTTTATTGCTCCATTTCCACTCTAACATGAACATGTGAACCACCAAACTCCATGACAACAATTACCTCTTTTTTCTTCCTGTTATTTTGCCTTAAAAGTTTTTTTTAAAACTTTATTGGCCTAAATTTGAGGTATTTTTGAGAGTGAATAATGAAATTCGGACGGATCTCCACCATATCTTTATAGCCCACATTTTTTTAATGTTTTATTTGCTCTGCGGACTGCCCACATAAACAATTGGTATGCCACTCTGTAGTTACTAAATTCCTTTTCTCTTTCTTGCAATGAAAAAAGAATGATTTTCTTGTTCCTGTAGTTAAGCATAAATGGAGATGACTGTAAAAATTGCAGAATTTCTGATTCTTTCTTATCTAATTTAGTAAATGCTTGGATTTGTTGGAAGAATACAATACAAGATTAGAAGATGGTCCTTCCTGCTAATTTGGTAGTCAAGCTTGTGTTTTGGGCTATTGGGTTTCATGTTCTTGCTAAATCAGTAGCCATTTCTGGTGCTGATGTTAATGAGAGATTGTACATATGGCCTATGCCCAGATCAGTTAGCCATGGCCACCACAGTCTTTATTTGAGCAGTGATTTTGAGCTCAAGACTGAAGGAAGCAGTTATTTGGATGTCTCTGGGGTTCTCAAGGATGGGTTCTTTAGGACACTTGACGTGATCCGAGGACCACATGCCATTGATGCCAGTATCTCTGTCCTTAACCAGTCTCGCGTGCTCAAAGGAATTCATGTGGACGTTCGTTCGCCTAGCGATGAGGTACCCAATTTATCCCATCCCTTTATGTTCATAGAACGTTAAGTGTTACAGTATCTCACATCGGAAAATCTAGAGAACGAATATTGGGTTATTAAGGCCTCGATTCGAATTAAATAACCGACACAATTCAGTGATATTAGGATGCGAATCCAATTATCACACCATATGCTGAAGAAAAATTCCATTAATCTGCGAGGACATGACTCAAAGCAGACAATATCATACTAATGTCAGGGTTAGAGTGATGGCAGACAGTCCCAACAAGTGACTTCTACTTAACCTTAAATTCTATTGTTAAGCCGTACTTATGTCAACCAAGGCATCCTATACATTGGCATTTTAGGAAAGGAACGCAAAGTCTTGATATAGATTATCTGCAATGCAGCTGCAACATGGAATTGACGAATCATACAACTTGTCTATAACTGAGAATGGAGATCCAATATATGCATATCTCCAGGTAGGTGTCGCCAGGTCTGTTGCATTTGTGGATTTACGCCATCTGCGATCTCCAATTTTTACAAGTATCGCAATTGTTATGCAGGCACAAACAGTTTATGGGGCTCTTCATGGGTTGCAGGTTCAATGCTTTCACAATCTCATTCTAAGATGCTATTATAATGATCAAATTTACTCTTACTTTGCATGTTACTAATGCCGCAGACGTTTAGCCAATTGTGCTATTTCAACTTCACAGCCAAAGCAGTTGAAGTTCGTCAAGTGCCGTGGACGATTTTGGACCAGCCAAGGTTCTCTTATAGAGGCCTTTTGATTGGTCAGATTCTTCTGCTATTACCCTTCTTCGTAATCTGTGAAATACCCCGAATTGGTATATTCTTCTTTACTTATGCTTTTTGTGATGCAGATACCGCGCGACATTATCTGCCACTTCCAGTTATAAAGAAGGTTATTGATTCTATGACATATTCAAAGCTGGTATGTTACTTCGGCTCCATTTGGCATTAGCTTTAGCATTTTGAAAATGGTATCCAACGATATGTTATAGTTAGTGATTTCAAAGTTAATCTACAACATGAGAATATTATCCAAGACGTTAACGTCAATCACTGTTAGACCTCGAAAAGCTAGGCCAAACGGAGCCTTACCAACTTTTCATCATTCATGTAAAAAACATTGAACAATGTGGCCATGTTTGAGAACTTAAAACCAAGTCTGCCTTTTGGCTTGTGCAGAATGTATTGCATTGGCATATTGTGGACACACAATCTTTTCCACTTGAATTGCCTTCATTTCCCAAACTGTGGGACGGTGCTTATTCTACTTCGGAGCGGTACACGACAAGCGATGCCACTGAAATTGTGAGGTAAGTGACAATTTATTATTGTTTTTATGTTTCCTTCTGTCGTTTTGAATCTTCTCTTCTAATATGAGAGTTTCAGATACGCGCAAAGACGTGGAGTCAATGTATTGGCCGAAATTGATGTTCCAGGGCATGCACAGTCATGGTAAGGTTTGAATACATTACAGTCTTGTGGTGGGACCCTTCCCCGAACCATTGCTCAAAAAAGATGCTAAGTTCACTGGGCTGCCCTTTTGTTTACGGATTGGTTGGCTAACAGTTGGTATAAACTATATAGGGGTGTAGGGTACCCTTTGTTATGGCCATCAAGAGATTGTCAACAGCCATTAGATGTGAGCAATGAATTTACCTTCAGAGTCATCGATGGGGTTCTCTCCGGTAATTCTCCCCCCCC